TATTATAACTAAGCCCCTTAAGTGCCCTAATATGGTTCTAAGTGCAGTCACATGTAGTTACTAGGTACCATGAACCTCCAATGGTAGGATCCCCTCGTAACAAGGACTCCAAAAAGGTACCCTAATTTGGGACGACCACATGGAGCCCCAAAAGGAGCCTTTCAAACAGAACAGCCCCTTTGACTATGGCGGGTGGTGCACTCGGTCCTCCGTTAGGAAGCGACCTCGAGGAGGTTCTGTTGGAGGACGCTGCTTCTGAGCAGAGCTGATGTCTGACCACCCCTAAAACCCCAAGCCCCGAAACCCCAAAGCTCTGGTTGTGAAGGGAACTTTAAGGGTCTGAGGGCTCCAAATTCACTTCCAAACTCATGGACATTCAGTACTTGGCCCTTGTCCAGGCGAGATTCTTGCCGTTTAGCGACTGCTCCCGTTTCTGGTGATGTGACGGATGGCTTTTTGTTGTTCAGTTAGGGTTCTTTTGGGTCGCTGTCCTTGCGCCTCATCCGAAGGACACTCCTGGGACCGGGATGGCGCTGCCCAGCCCCCGCACGCAGCGCACCGAAGGCCCGCACGTCTCGGTGATGTTTTGGGGGGGTTCTTGGAGGTTCCGGGGCACTACAGAGTAGGGTGACAAGTAGGGCAAGTAAGGAGATGACCACACTTAAGGTACGTATAGCCCTGCTTATAAGTACCCATGAACCCACAAGTTGTTTTGGTGAGCTTGAGGCTTCTGTAACGGAGAAAGGACGATCGTCTGGAAACGGCTTCCGAGATCAAAAATCCCAATGAGCTACAATCTGAGCCCTGAACCCTAAACTGTAACCCCCCTAAACTCTACACCCGAAACCCTACATGAGACTAGCTAGCTTTCGATTCTCAAGGTCTTTCACTCCTGTGTGTTTTTGGCCCACTCAGTCGGGCTTTCCGTCCTTCCCGTGCGATGCCTCGTTCACATTTCGCCATGTAACGAGCGCCAACACACTACTTGGAGGGTCATGTAGGGTACTTAAAAGTGGGGTTAGAAGTAAAGCAACAAGGGTTAAAACTTATTTAATCTCTTTCTCGAGCTGTCGCTTTGTTTTGGCCGAGGGAGGAGTATCGAGAGCCCTGAGATGAAAAACCCCACATGGAAAGGCTGATCGAGCTTGAGGGTACCCCCCCTCCGACCCACTTTTTGGAGGTCCATGGATACTTCTAGTTAGAACAGTAG